GTTTGTTTTTTGTAAGGGTTTTACGGCGCTGGTAACTTAACTGCATATGAGCCCACGGGACACACTAATTTTTTTTCAATAGGTAAGACATTTTTTAAATTTTGCCCGGGTGGCAGCCGAAGCCTACTAACTCTTATTATCGATTTTAGACCACCAAGAGATCTTTAACGTGCGCAACTTGCACACGGGATCTCCGAGATTTTTTGCCCTTGTCCGAGAAGGCTAGGGGTAGATAGATGTTTGACAGTAAAGAAGGAGCAAACCACACTAGAAAAAACGTTGGGATTAACTTGGACAAGTAAAAAAATCAAGGGTGTCCACTCTCCTTGGCGACTTTTTCGGATCGACACGACGTCATGCCCAAAGACTTTGCCAAACTGAGAGGACAATTTAGGCTAAATATTCCACTCTTTTTGGACAGGTTAACTTTGGAGACTATAGAGTTATTGGTATCATCTTTCAGATTGTTCACTAGTCTTTTTTTTTTTGGAAAAAAAAATATCCATATATCTTGAATACAATTCGAGATATTTGCGAAAGAAGAAAGTGGAGGTCACCTGTTTTCAGAGTTAAAATGAGCTAGAAAATGGCCGCCAAAGATTAATTATTTCCTTAGCTTAAGAGTCCGTGGTAACTGAAAATTTACATTCTTTTTTGCCTTTAATCTACCTTTTTTAAAGAAAAATTCCACAGAAATGAGTTTTTTAATAGGCATGAAAGGTGCTGAGCAAAAAAAAAAAAAAAAATTTGATAAAAATTCACAAACCTACGGGAAAAGGCAAGTTTCTTCAATTTGATTATTTTGACGAGAGCCTGATTCCACCACGAAGCCTTACATAGCATTTCAGTATGTATCAGTAATATCTGTTCTAAGTTCTGATAAACGTTCACATCCTTTCAGAGGCATTTTAATATGTATCAGTAATATTTGTTCTAAGTTCTGATAAAAGTTCACATCCTTTCAGATGCATTTTAATATGTATCAGTAATATTTGTTCTAAGTTCAGATAAACGTTCACATCCTTTCAGAATGTATCCGTAATATTTGTTCTAGGTTCTGATAAAAGTTCACATCCTTTCAGATCCATTTTAATATGTATCAGTAATTTTGTTTTAAGTTCTCATAAAAGTTCTCATAAAAGTTCTCATAATATGTACACCAAAAGACAGTCTCCGTGAATGCTGATCTCACTCTACGTTGGAGGCAGAGGCGAACTAAAGAAATGTAGGATTCAAAAGCCCTAACTGTTTTTAAAAAAAGTTTTAGTAGACGTTTTACGGCGCTCGCAACTACATACGGTCATATGAGCGCCAGAATATTAGAGGTGTTACAAGAGAGTAACAAACATTTAAAGATAAGGATGGGGTATAAGGACGATAGATGTTTGATGGGAAAGAAGAGGCAAACCACAGCAGAGCACCCGCCAACCACCCACGACCCTTGATGCGTCTTGAGATCGGTTTCGCAAATGGTCAATGTAGGAGCTTCTCTTAAATGCAATACGAGAAAACGCAAACATACATAAATACACGCACACACATACAAACACACATATACACACATACACACACACACACACACACACACAC